CAAAAAACAATATCTTTGTCTGTATGTGGTGCTGAGGATCGAACCCGGGCCACACGCACGCCAGGCGAGCACGCTACCGCTTGAGCCACATCCCCAGTCCCCATGTATAGCATTTTTAATGGTATTACCAGGTACTTTAATTTCCTTTTCCTAGTTAATTAAAAATAAAAATACCTGTGACTCAACATGCACTGCTTCTAAAAGACTTTTAAACACTCAAGGCAATTACCTAACTCATTAAGTATTATTATTTGTCAGCCAAATGCTATTTATGAACACTCTCCTCAACTCCTCAACTGTTTCAATCACCCTATATTAGACTATTTTTAAAAGTGACTTGTAAGAACTGGGCAAAATCCCAATTCAGTGTAAGTATCTATTTATCCACAAATAGAGGAGAACAAACTAAAAGAATGAGATGTTATCTAAATCTTGTTCAGCTCATAGCTGGGACAGTGGAAATAAAAGGTAGGTCAGTCAACAGAGTACATTCCGACCACATGTTTCTTTCTGTAAGAGACACACACTTTAGATTCAAAACCCAAAAATGTTGAAAATAAAGGAATGAAAAAAGATGAATATTGGTTTTGTTTTTAAACTTCTACTCAGTAATATATTGGAGGTTCTAGGTGGGGCAATTAGACAAGAAAAAAAAAGGGAAGGTATTCATTTTGGAAAAGAAAAAGTATCTCTATTCACAGACTTGTATATAGAAAATTCCAAGGAACATGTACACAAATTATTAGAACTAATAAAAATGAATTCAGGAACATTTTAGAATACAAGATCAATGTATAGAATTAAAATTACTTATGCTGGGCATAGYGACATGCTCCTATAATCCCAGCAACTCAGGAGGTCAAGGCAGGAGGATTGCAAGTTTGAAGCCAGCTTGGACAACTTACCAAGATTATATATATATAGTAAGTGCTGAGGGTGTAGCAAAGCATCTCCATTACTCCAAAAATAAATAAATAAACTTGACAAAAGTAGTACAAAACACCCTGAAAAACTATGGAACACTAATGAAAAATTATAGAAAACCTACCAAATGGAAAGATCCCACATGCATGAGTTGGTCAGACTTAAAACAAGGCAATACTTCCCAAACTCATCTCCAGGATAAACATAAACACAAGTCCTATTCAATTTAGCCAGCYTCGGGAGGGGAGGGAGGGATAGTAGAGGATAGGAAAGGTAGCAGAATACAACAGTCACTAATATGGCATTATATAAAAACGTGGATGTGTAACCGATGTGATTCTGCAATCTGTATTTGGGGTAAAAATGGGAGTTCACAACCCACTTGAATCAAATGTATGAAATATGATATGTCAAGAGCTTTGTAATGTTTTGAACAACCAATAATAAAAAAAAAAATTTAGCCAGCCTCATCTTTGTTTATTGGTGGCAGAAATTGAACAAGTTGATTCTTAAAATTGAAACAGAAAGGGCAGGGATCCAGAATAACCAAGATAATACTTGGAAACAACAACAACAACAACAGCAAAAACTGGGGCACTCAACACTTGCCAATTTAAAAACTATTTAAAAAGCAGATCAAAACTGATCATAGACTGACATGTAAAAGCTATAAATTCTTAACAGAAAAGACAGGATAAACAACTTTCTCTCAAAAGCACAAGCAAAATTAGAAAAATAAAACATAACCCCCCCCATACACACACCATAATCAGAAATCATTAACCCTGACCTCAAAATAAAAACAGTTGCTATACAATAATTTGGGCAAGTCTTTTTTACTCAAATTATATTACGGCGGGGGGGGGGGGAGCTCAAGACATAAATTAAAATCTTAGGGTGCAAAGGTGTACACCTATAATTGGCAGACTGAGGCAGGAGGGCCTCAAGTTCTCAATCATCAAGACCCTGTCTCAAAATAAACAAAATTAAAAGGGTTGGTAGTGCAGCTTGGTTATGGAATGCTATAATAACTGGGGGGCAGGGTTGGGATGGGGACATGTAGAAAACACCTAATTGTAAACTCTGAACACTCTTGTGTATAATACATAAGGACAAATTATTATTGTTCAGATGACCTTTTTAAGTATATTAAGTTATCTGATGTACATCTCAAAACAGTTGGAAAATAGGACAAGTATGATGATTACCTGTTTACAAATATCGAAAATGAGAGAAATCAAAAAAATAATTACTGCAGTGCCATGACCTGTACTGGTAACCAGTGCAAAAAAAAAAAAAAAAGGGAAAAGGATGCAAAGAAAATCAGGATAGCTGGAATATCATGTATACTACACATCATTCTTAATAAATTCATATGCATATTTATTTTATATGACAAAAGTGAAGCAAAATTTGAAATAGAAATAATTTAGAATTGGGCATATACACTTTAAGATTTTTTTCCTTGAATTATAAAATGTCAATGAAAATTTTAGTTTATTAATATATGTACACGTTTCATGCAAGAGAAGCACTTTATTTGTCCTGTGGCTTTACAAAGGATAAGGTGGGGGAGTAGGTCTCCAGGGCTAGACTCTAGGCTCTATGTAAAATAATTCTCTACAGTGAATGGAAATGCTCTAGATCTGTTCTCTCCGGTAGTAACTACTAGTTCCATGTGACTAATGAGCATCTGAAGTGTGGTTATTGTAACTAAGAAATTTCACTCTTACTTTTAGGGGAACTTACCCTTTCTATAGCTTCTTTTTCCTGAGGTGTTACTTGAATGTAATTCATATGCCCACTTCCAGCTTCTGCAATTCCTCCACTGCCACTTCCACCTCCTCCTCCTTGACCCCCAGATTCTTGAACTGGTTCATTTAACATCTGAATAAAATGCTCCTGATGTTGGCTAATTTGCTGTGATTTGAAGGACAGAGAAAAACAATACACTGATATTAAAATTTAATAAAGGGGTCCAGTGCAGCTCAGTGGGAGAATGCTTTTCTAGCATGTGTAAAGTCCATTCAATTCCTAGTGACAAAAAAATAAAAATGTAAGCAGTTTTTGTTTAATTAAATAACTCTGATTCTCTAATGTTAATATACACTGGGAATCTGCAAAGGTAAATGTTTTCCAAACTTATTTGACAAACTGAAATTGATACAACTTCTATATCTCAACTTCTTTTCAATACACCTATATACAGCATAATGTTCTACTAAGTGTAATGTGGATTTAATCATTGTCAAGAACTAGTGAGGAGGGGACAGTACGTTCATGGACTTTTTCAAAATAAATATATTCTAAACTCACTTTTCAAACTAACACCGATTAAATAATCACCTGCAGTAACTGAGGATTCTCTCGACCTATCTGTTGTAGCAATGCAGGAAGCAGGGAAGGGTTCTGTTGAATAATTTGTCTCATCTGTTGAAACTGAGGCTGATTTCGTAAAAATTCAAGGGGATGCCCTGAAATAAACACAAACATTTAAAAATGAAAGTAGTAAATACACACACACACACGTTAAATCATTTATACTGCAAATATTATCAAGTAAAAAATGAATTCTCAGATATAAGAAAATGAATGATGCAATCTTCAAATTTTATCAATGTATGAATCTTATATCACAGAAATTACTATTGGCCAAAGCAGAAGAGTGCAGATCACCAAGAACCAAACTTCCTACAAGTTCCCTGCATACCACTACCCCCCCACCAGCAAAAAAACCAAAAAACTCCTAGGAATTCCTGCCCTACCTATATTCTCTCAAAATAAAAAGTATTAAATTTGTTCCAATTGTTCAAAAGTTGCTATGAAAAATATATACTAAAACTAACAAAAACAAAAACCCAGTTCCTTTATCATATAGACCTCACTTAAGGACAGGTAAATATTCTAAGAAATGTGTGGTTAGGCAATTCTGTCACTGTATGAACATCACAAACTGTACTGAAGCAAAGTAAAGCAGCTATGGTGTCACTAGGCAATACAATCTTATGGAACCCACTGGTGTTAAATGAAATGACTATATAGTCAAAAATCCATAAAAATCACTATCGTGAATTCCTGGGAAATATTAAGCCAGAGAGAGAAAGGTATTTAGTATTTAAAAGTTAGGAATGTCAGGTTTGCACATTAGGAATTTTAATACAAGACTGTGTACAAAGCAATTAAGGGATTTTTTTGTTGTCAACCAGAGCTTAGCTCCACAAGGAGAACTAGGAAAAATACAAGGAAGAATGAAGGAGAACAACAAGTAAATCGTGGGCCTACCACAGGCTCCAGGCTTTGCTCTGAAGTTAGATCCACGGCAATGGAAGGGTGGATACTGACCAGTAAGGAGGCCCGAATTCAGGCTTTRTTCTCTTTACACACTTGGAAGAATTTCTTTTGGACCCCTCTTTAATGAATATAGAACTTATTTTCAATTATTCAAATGCTTTGGGAATAAATCCCACCTTAGCCATCTACAACCTTTTCTCCCTTATCCAAGAGATTCCACTTTACCTCCAGAACTTGCTGTTGTAGTGGTTGCTGTTGTAGTTGCTGCAGCTGCAGCCACTGCTGAAGACTGAGGAGTCCCAGTACCAGCTGCTTGAGCAGGTTCAACCACAGCTTGACTTTCTCTATCTCCAGGAATTCCCTATAACACAATTTACAAGCTTTAAGACAATCCACCATACCAAATTAGCTAAATATTATTATACCAATAAAAGGCTGATAGTCRGTTTAAGATCCCTGCCTAATTTCCTAAAAGCATAAAACAGATGTCTACTTCAATTAAAAGTAAAGGATTATTAAACTGCATGGATTTGAATTATATTAGACATGGCCTGGGTGTATAAGGCAGCACTGACCAACAGAATTTCCCACAATGATGGAAATTTCTCTATTTGCACCGACAACTAAGATACCCACCAGTCACACATAATTATTTTAAGTTTTAAAATATTGATATGTATCTTATTAAAACTAAACCAAGGTTTTGAGCTACACATTCATTGCTCTAGTTGATTCTGAAATTCTCAGAAAATTTCAGCACCCATTGCTCAATGATACAAAGGACAATTTGTAACGACAGCCTTAAGACTATCCAAAGATGACGGTTCTGAAATAACTCCTGGGGGAAAAAAAAATTGACTCTCCCTCACTTGCTGCCAAAATGGCCTATTTCACAGTGTACACTCCCTGCTAATATCCCACAGAAATGCCCTGATTACTCATAGTTCTTCAGGTGAGATCAGTGTCCAGGACACTGGCTCCTCATGTCACTGGGGCTTATTTATGCCAAAGATGTAAAAATTTGGTGCAGATGCCTGAGACTTTCAAGGTGAAGACCTTATAGCAAAGTAGCAGTTACAATGGGGTGAAAAGGAATAAAAATAATTATTCCATAGAGTTGGGAAAGTCTGAAAGTAATGAAAGATGGTGTAACTATTGCTAAGTCAATAGATTTAAAAGATAAATACAAAAATATTAGAGGTAAATGAATGGAACTGGAGACTATCATGCTAAGTGAAATAAGCCAATCCCCAAAACTTCTTTCTGATATGCAATGCTAACACAATTGGGGGGGGGGAGATAGAAGTTCACTGGATTAGACAAAGGGGAATGAAAGAAAGGGAAGGAGGATGGAAATAGGAAAGACAATAGAATAAATTAGACAATCTTCCTATTTTCATATATTAATACATGCCCAGTGAAACTCCACATCATGTACACCTACAAGAATGGGATCCTAATTAGAATAAGATATAAACCATGCATGTATAATACGTCCAAATACACTCTACTATCATGTATATCTAAAAAGAACAAAAAAAATCTACTGTTAAAAAATATATTGGAGGTAAACTTGTTCAGGATATTGCCAATAACACAAACGAGTAGGTCAAGGATGGCACTGCCACTGCTATGTAGTGGTATGCTCTATATCCAAGGAAAGCTTTGAGGAGACTAGCAAAGGAGCTAATCCAGTGGAACTCAGGAGAGGTGTGATGTTAGCTGTTGATGCTACAACTCCTGAGCATAAGCGGTCTATCCTTGCATGATAAACTTTGGTCTTAACTGCTAAAAATATTGATGGAGACACTCCAAGTACACCTGTTTTAGTTGGCCTTTGGGTTGTGGCAGTAAAAGCTGCAAGTTTTAGTGACAACAGAAAGAACCTATTTGAAGATATAGCTATTGCTACTTGTGGCACACTGTTTGGATAAGAAGGTTTGATCCTAAATATTGAAGATGTTCGGGCTCATGAGTTAAGAAAAGTTGAAGAGGTCACCATCAACAAAGGTGATGCAATGCTTTTGAAAGAAAAAGGTGACTAAGCTCAAATTGTAAAGCATATTCAGGAAGTCACTGAGTAATTATTATGCTACAACTAGTGAACAACTAAATGAATGACTGGCAAAACTTTCATATGGAACAGCTATGCGTAAGGTTGACAGGCCAAGTGATAATGAAGTGAACGACAAGACAGTTACAGATGCCCTCAGTGCTACAAAAGTTGCTCTTAAGGCATTCTTTTGGGCGGGGGTTGTGCTCTTCTTTAGTACATTATTGTCTTGGTCTCATTAACTCCAGCTAATGAAGATGAAAAGTTGGTATAGAATTAAAACAAAACACCAAACACAAACACTCAAGATTTCTACAATGACCATGTTAAGAATGCAGGTATTGAATGATCTTTCATAGTGTAAAAATCTTTCAAGATCAAAGATTTTCTGAGTATGGAGGGAAAAGCAATCTGATCAAACACAAGTTGTTAAGAACTGCTTCAATGAATGTTGCTGGAGTGGGATTCTTATGTTAACTTAAAGCAAAAGTTGTAGTCATAGAAATTCCTAAGGAGACAGACTCCAGAATGAGTGTGAAGGAAAAGTGGTATGAGAGGTAGTGTGTTCTGATTTTCAAAATAGTGCTTTAGCATTATGAACAGTGACAGGAAACTCAAAGCAGGGTTTCTCACCAATAACTTCAGAGAAGTCAGTTGAAGAAAACAACTGAAGAAAAGGTCAGTTGATGTTGAAGAAAATCACTATTAACTATCAGTTATTGGTTTCAGTTGACAATATACAACAGTTTACTGGGTTCACTGTCTAAGCCTTCAGATAATTTATTTTGTGTTTTTGAATAAAAAGACAATTGTATATTTCTGATACTGGGTGCAAGAGCAGAGTACCAATGCACTGCTTTCAATTTAAATCACTGGGACATTTCTACTACTATTCTGCTAAAAATCAGGATTTTAGTGCTTGCCATCACCAGACAAAAAAGTTCAGAAGCAATCTTTCTGTGGAGAATAACTGGGTACAAAGTAGAGATATTCAGTTATATGACAACCTTTGTGTAATAAAAACTGCTCAAAGTTAGATATTCTTTACTGATCCAATTCTGAGAATGTGTCAGAAAGTACCACATATAAAATTGTTTTCAAAACTCACAAAATAGATATTAAAGAAATTTAAATAATTTGACTTTTAGTTGATGCTTTTTATATGTCTGAGGCATTTACCTTCTTGAGTTGTTAGTTTAAAACTGCAAGAACACTTTTTGAACAACCTATTATGAATACATATACTTATAGATTTCATAGCTACTACTACTAAAAGGACTTTATCAAATTCTTGGATTTTGAGTTGGGTCTGGTAGTGCACGTGTAACCTCAGTTACTTGGGTGGCTAAGGAATGAGGATCAAAAGTTTGAGATCACCCTAGGGACTTAACAAGACCCTGTCTCAAAAAAAAAAAAAAAAAAAAGAGAGAGAGAGAGTATTACAACTGAATAAGAATGGTACATGCTTCTGTTTCCTGATAAACCAGAAGCCAAACCCATAAAATCACAAAGAATAAAGGGTAATGAATGGGGCAGGATGATGGCTCACTGCAATAGAAACATAGTGGACACTAGAAATGAGTATTTGGGGAATTGGTTGCCAATTCAAGTCCTCAGATGAAGTTATTGTTAGCAAACTATATACAGATTTAGGATCTTGAGTATCTACCCAATTCTCAACAGTTTTGTTAAACTAAAAAGTAAATCAACACTGCTATCGATCTACCTGTAATTTTCACACACGATACAGCTTCTTATTAGGTAAGTGACCAATAATTCATTTCTTCTTTCCACTCATTCATTTTCACTTATATGTTAACTAGTAACAATTAAAGGTAGACTTTTTTCAGTCTATGAAATCAACCATAAATATATTCAAACACTTTAAACTGCTTCATGAACTCATTTCATCTGTTCATATATATTTTGAGAGTGAGAGAGAGAGAGAATTTTAATATTTATTTTTTAGTTTTTTTCGGCGGACACAACATCTTTGTTTGTATGTGGTGCTGAGGATCGAACCTGGGCAGCATGCATGCCAGGTGAGCGCGCTACGGCTTGAGCCACATCCCCAGCCCCTCATCTTTTCATATATTTGTATTTAATTCTACATAGCCAGGAGGCTGAGACAGGAGGATAGAAAACTCAAAGCCAGCCATGACAACTTAGTGAGACCCTGTCTCAAAATAAAAATATAAAAAAAGGGTCAGGAATGTAGCTCAGTGGTAAAGTGCCCCTAGGATCAACCTCCGGTGCCAAAAAAAAATAAAATGAGATGCAAGCCAGGGACAGTGGTGAAGAACTATAATCCCAGCTACTATGGAGGTTGAGGCAGGAGGATCTAAAGTTTGAGGTCAGCACAGGCAACTTAGTAAAAACCTGTCTTAGAATAAAATATTAAAAAGGTGGTAATGTAGCTCAGTGGTAGAATTCTCCTGGGTTCAATCCCCCATACTGGTAGAAATAATTGAGGCTTTCCTGAGGCTAGCTGGCAACTAGAAAGGAATTTGCAACAGAAGTGCAATGTAGTAACAAAGGAATGGGTCACACTGTGATATGTATTCCTCAGAGTTATGATAGTGGATGAGGTTTGTGGCAATTCACAATCAGATCAAAACCTCAGAACACCAAAGAAAATGATAGAACAAAAATGTAAGATTAAAAAAAGATAACCTAGCATCATTCCAAAATTCTGCATTATTTTAGAATGTAAAATACATTTATATCAGGGCGCAGTTACACACAAGTCTGAGACTGGAAGACTGTGAGTTCAAAGCCAGCCTCAGCAATGGCAAGGTGCTAAGCAACTCAGTGAGACTCTGTCTCTAAATAAAGTACAAAAACAGGGCTGGGGTTGTGGCTCAGTGTCAAGTTCCTCTGAGTTCAATCCCTGATACCAAAAAAAAAAAAAAAAAAAAAAAAAAAAAAAAAAAAAACCCACATCTATAAAACTGGCAGATATTCATCCCAATAAAATGCCAAGGGCTTCAAATATCCACAATAACCTATTTATCAAAAACTTTTATTACCACTTAAAAAATAAAGGGAGGACCTATAAAAAGTTCCTTAACTGTTAATGACTATAAACAAGCTAACAAATCCAAATCCAGGCTAGGAATATTACACATGGAGGCACACACCTATAATCCCAACTCTGGAGGCTGAGGCAGAAGGATCCCAAGTTGGAGGGCAGCCTCAGCAATTTAGTGAGACCTTGTCTCAAAATGAAAAACAAAAATAAACACCCCCCTTAAACCAAAGTCGGTCCAGAAAAAACAGAAATTTAAGTTTTTATATTATCCCCAACACATACTAAAATATGAAGCATGACTCCAAATGGATAGCCAATTTTATAACTCATTTAACCATGTTTCATCCTAACTAAAACTGTACCAGAATGTTTTAGAAAAGGCTGGATTTTATCAATACAAAATGTTAACTAATTCTAGGATAAATAAAAGCATTAATTATCTAGTAAGCATTATTTTTCTCTAGTGAATTCTTTTAAAATCTTTGAGATCTTGATCTTAAAACAAACAATGGAAACAAAACAAAAGTGTTTCTCACCATTAAAAGATACTCCACTGCTCTGTCAGGGTTGTTGAAACTGGCTCTCAGGGCTGCAATTACTTGCTCTCGTTCATAGCCCATTGACATGATCTCAGTTACCATATTCTCGTATGACTGACCTGTCACTAAAAATGGGGCGGGGTATAGAACAAAACATTTAATGTACATTCTCTATATATTTCTTAAGTGTATACATGTATACAGTGTATCAGATACTACTGCTAGGATTACAAAAACAAATAACAACATATATGCAATAGACAGAATAATGATCCAGAATAAAAATCCCCCAGAAATGTCCATGTCCTAATACCTGGACTAGAGATTTAAAAACCATGTTAGATTACTTGGTAAAGGGCAGTGAACCTGTAGGTAAAACTGAGGTTGCTATCATCTGACTTTAAGATAAGGTACCCCCACTGGACTTCCTGGGTAAGTAGAAGAGGGAGGTAGAGAGGTTAAGGGAGCAAAAGCAGGAGAGAAAAGCTATACTTTTGCCTATGAGAATGGAGGAAGGACTATAAATTTCAATAAAGTAGGAAGCCTTCAAAAGATGAAAAGGACAAAGAAAGGGTTTTTGCCCAATCTTCAGCAAGAACACAACCCTGTATCAAACTTCTAACCTATAATTCTGTAAGATAATAAATAAGTCTGTGCTGTCCTATACCACTAAGTTTATGTAAACCTATTACAAGCCAATAGAAAAATAGTACATTTCCTAAGTTCAAAAGAATTATCAGGTACAAATTAACAGAGAATTAACAGGAGACTGGGCTGCAAATGTAGCTCTGTGTAGATGCATGCTAGAATTAGTAGGAGATTAGGGAAGGCAACCTATAATAAGAAATACATGAGCTCAATTTTTATAACAGGTAAAGGAGCAATTCAAGCAACTGATTATAACACAGCAAGTTGGCAGTTTTCTTTTGATATCTTTTATTACCAAAAAAGTGGGAGAAAGGTGGTTAGTAAACAAGAAAGTTAGAATCTCCTATACAACACAAGCCTGTTATTATTCCAGTAAGTCACAGCCAGAAGTCTTTCTCCAATCTTTCCTTGGGGATGTGGCTCAGTGGTCAAGTTCCTATCTTGCTTTTCATGAAGAGGGCTGACAACACTTACCAAAATTATCAAGTGAAAGCTGTTTCCCCCCACTAATCTCACCTCACTTAAAATTATCTTCTCCTTTCACCCATGGTCTGGAAACTACTGCCTTTATTGCCACCTCAAAGATTAGATCTGGTTACCCTCTCTTTTCTCCACCTTCCACCCTTCACTCCCGGAGTAATCATTCCAATCAGCAACTACGATCAATTATGTATTTCGTATGTGTCTTCTTTAAACAACAACTTCGCATGACCCCATCCTCATCTCTTTCAGCAACTGGTACATGTGTCTGCTCTCTTCCTTCTATAGCTATAGTATCCACACATGCTGGGTCCAATTCCTCAACTAATTCCAATAAAGATTTCCCCTTAAATGTGTTCCTCTCCACAGGCTGCCTATCCACCTAAGTGCTTGAACCAGAAAGCTTGATCATTTCAACTTCTTTACCTGCCTTTCCACATCTAATCGACCAGTATATCTGGTAGCTCCCATCTTTTTTTTTTTTTAAATATTTATGTTTTAGTCGCAGTTGGACACAATATTTATTTATTTTTATGTGGTGCCAAAGATCGAATGGAGGGCCTCACACTTGCTAGTCGAGCGCTCTACCACTGAGCTACAATCCTGGCCCTTCCATCTTAAAATCATAACCCAAACCCATCTAGCTCCTTTCTCCACTGCCATCACTCAAGATCAGCCACAGCAACCACTGGTCTGGTTTATACTCTGCCCCCAGACCTACAGCCCACTCTTTAGCCAGCAGCAAAAATGAGCCTTTGAAAAAAAAAAAAAAAAAAAAAAAAAAACCTCAGCTCAGGCTCCCCACCATCAGTAATCCTCCTCTACCCACAACCATCCTGAGTTACTCAACAGGTCATCTTTCCCTGCCGAGAACCTTCATGTGTGTAGCCTTCTATGGAGCCAGATCCTTCACACATTCCAGTTCTAAAATTAAAAGTGACAGTGTCAGAGAGRTATTGCCTAGCTATCTTAAGTAGAACTATTTTCCTTTGTAGAAACTCTCTGTATTAAAATCATTTAACATGAATTATAATTTATTTTTTTCTATCCCCATCCAAACACAGGTTCAGCCGAGCAGGGAACAGTGTCATTTTGCATATTTTTTCTATAGACTTTTCAAAATCTAAAGGTACTTTAATAGCATAATAAATAAATAAATAAATAAATAAACAAAACCAAAAAACCCCTAAATATGAAGTTTGTTCCTCCGAGGATGCAAGTGTTAATAGTGCTCAGTGTGGCAAAATGAGATGGAGACCCTCACTTATTTATCTAAAAGTGAATTATTATAAAAGAGCCCCTCCTCGCTCTCTGTTTTCTTGTCTCACCATAGGAGCCTTCCCTCTTATACTTCTACCACTGTGATGCCATCCTCCATGGAACCTTTACCAGAACACAGATGGGCAGATGTCAGTACCACATACTCATACTTGAACCTCCAAAACTGTAAGCTGAACAAACCCCTTTTCTTTATAAAGCAGAGAGCCTCAGGTATTTCACTCCAGTTAAACACATACACACACACACACACACCCCCTTTCTTTTCCCATCCCATAAACACTAATTTGTTTTTGTGTGTGCACCAAGGATTGAACCCAAAGGTGCTTAACCACTGAGCCACATCCCCAGCCCCTTTTAGTTTTTATTTTGAGAGGGTCTTGCTAAATTGCTTAGGACCTCACTAAATTGCTGAAGCTGGCCTTGAAATCACAATCCTCTTGCCTCAGCCTTGAGCCATGAGATTATGGGCATGTGCCATTGCTCCTGGCTACTTTTTAATATTCTTTTATTTTCCTAATCATCTATTGATGTAATTCTAGCACAAATCCACTCAAGTTGGCAAAATACTCTCCATCACCTAGTTTCCACATAGAAAAATAGATATCAATATTAACGAAATTAAGACATATGGAAGATTATATTTTTTAATATCATATATTTCATTTAGTTCTCAAAACAACCCAATGAGAAAGGTTTATTCTCATCGCCTTTTAAATACAAAGAAATTAAGGCTTAGAGATTATTGCTAAGGTGATCAGGTATCAATGGCTGGTAAATAATGGCACAAAGATACACGCAGACTGTGAGTCCAGAATACTCTACACCAGTCATTGTACTACACTTCCTAAAATCTTATTTCTTAATTAATCAAGTTATTAAAAAATCAAAAAGACATGTCAGTCAGCAGTCTGATACTTTTTAGATCTTAAAAGTATAAGCACATACAGTTGTACAAGGGACCATGTCATTCTTCAAGACTATAAGCAGTCTGATACTTATAGTCCCATCAAAGTTGCCTTCTAGAAAGTCTACTCTCACAGGGAGAAAGATCAAAACAAAGAATGTTAAGAGTCAGGGTAAGAAACTAAACTAAGGCAACTAAGTAAGTGGCAGTGGAAACAAATATTCTGGAGACTTGAAAAGAATCAATCAGACTCACTGGGCCAAGGCAGACAGAGGATAATGCCAACTGTGAGGGAAAGGGTAGATAATGGTGTAAACAAGTTAGAAAACAAAGGCAAAGAATTGACGAGTGGAATAAAAAGTTGAGTCAATTTGAAATATAAGATATTTATGAAGGATGAAAGTTTTCTAACTGGTAATTTAAACAAATGAGTTTGGGAGTTCAGAGGGGTCTATATAACGGAATTAAAACTTGGGGAATCCTTATGACAAGTGCATGGTACTGTCTATTTCCAAAGTGTAAACTCTGAACTATGGCCTTAAAACAGAACCATAAAAAACATATATTTTAGGGGCAGGTAAAATAAAAAGAATTAACTAAAAAGTCTGAGAAGAATGGTATGAGATATACATCAGGAAATGAGCAGTGTCAATGCCAAAGAAAGACAGTTTGAAGAAGTAGGAAAGCAATCCGGAGACCAGGTAGATGAAAGATTACAGGACAAAGGGGCAGTGGTGCGCACCTGTCATTCTGGCTACTCAGGAGGTTGAAGCAGGAGAATCAAGAGTTTAAGTCCAGGTCAGGCAACTCAGCAAGACCGTGACGCAACATAAAAGATATGTTGGGGATGAGCTCAGTGGTTGAGTGTTCTGGGTTCAATCCTGACATAAGAGGAAAGAAAAAGAGCAAAGAATTCTGGGACTAGAAAGCTGAGAAGGGGAGATCCAGGAGACATAAAGATATAAAAGAAAGACATTGCCACTTCCACCAGAGGTTAGGTGTAGCAAGAGCAGACAGAGCCTTGAGTAATATCAGGGGCATATGCCAGGTGGTCCCACCTTTGAAGCTATAGAACAGTTTACCATTGTCTGGGTAACCTCCTTCTACAGCTGTTCTAATACCTTTGTAATAGTTCCCTAAGATTCGGCCTTTCTGTGTTTGAAGTAAAGCAATTTCTGTCATTCTGATTAGATGCCAACTGCTATAGTACTTGGTGGCAAAGTAGTCCCAGTTAGCAGTCCCTCAAAGATGGAAATCTGGTTTTGATATATTCATGAACTGTTAGGTATTAGGGTATCAAGGAAGTTCAAGCCCAGGGAGGTCAGAGGACCAACCCCAGATCCCCATAGGCACTGTTGTTAGAATCCTACTGCTGCAGGAGCCCATACTGATCCCACCTGTTCCCAGACAATAAAACASTACTATACCAGAGACAGTACAAAGGAGAGGAGCTGGTTTTTGAAAAAAACACGAGTGAAGGCTGAGGAAAAGACTGTATTCAATAGATACAATTAAAAGTTAGGATAGGAGGGCTGGAGATATAGCTCAGTTGGTAGAGTGCTTGCCTGGCAGGCACAAGACCCTGGGTTCCATCCCTAGCACCGCCAAAAAAAAAAAAAAAAAAAAGGAAAAGTTAGGATAAAAAGGCATTTACGCATTTACTTGCTGTAAGTCAATACAAGGGACAAGATATAAATGAGAACCTCTAGGGTCAATGGGTAGGCATGAAAACTAAATGTGAATAGTGTGAAGTATGGGGGCAGATGGACAAATTTATTCCCTTTCAAAGACACTTTGTAACAAACTCATATTAGGAAATACAAATTACTTGCTATAAGGAACGAAATATGCTTAACATTAACTGTAAGAGTGAATTCTGAAAGACAACATTAAAAAATATTGTAGTCTTTGGTSATAACCCTGCTGAATAATTATTTAGATCAATTATTTTACAGCTAGACTATTAAAAAAACATGAAAATTAATGCATTATTGTAATCTTAAAAACTAACTTAAAATTCTTCCCTACCTCTAAAGTTATATACAAGGTAAATACTTACCAAGTGCACTTGTTGCATCTTCAAAAAGGTTTGACCGAGAAGCATCTCCTGATGTACTGTAAAGTTTTTAGAAAAAGCACATTTCACTAAGTATGTAATATTTAATTTATATTAGTTTAGTAACTATCCCATTTGTAAAGAGAGTCTTTGTCTTTAATGTGAAGTTTGGCTATAGTGCTTAAACAGTCTTGTCCAGGTTAACCCCAAAAACTTCACTGTTAACATTTTAAATTTGGGGAAAYTTTCAATCTCAATCCTCCTTCTATTTTGAGAACTCATCATTTAAAATGCCCAAAGTTACAAAAGTTAAAGACAGCTTATTCTATTTAAGAAATATGAAAAGATAATAATAGATAAACAAAATAATGCTTGAATCAAGTTGCAACAGAGTAATACCAAAAGCAGTACACTGTAGAATGTCCCTTCAGAAAACATAAGGAAACTCCATACTGAGGTTTTATGGACAACTCCAAAAGACAAAACTAAAACAACATACTCCAAAGAATATAGCATATGAAAAAAAAAAATGCAGATGTGGGATAGCTTCAAGTTCTAACCTAAAGGAAACCAATGAGTCTAGTATAAAAAATAAACAAGTTATAAAATACCATGAAAAAAAATGGATGAAGAAAAATAAACTGAAGGGCTGGGATATAGCTCAGTTGGTAGAGTGCTTGCCTTGCATGGATAAGGCCCTGGGCTCTAATCCCCAGCACCACAAAAAACAAGAAACAAAAAACACAAAAATAAAAAATGAGTTGAAGTTTACAAATGTGGCAAAGGTACTAATTAGAAGTTTAAATGAATACACACACACATACTCTTACATCTCCATTTCAATTTTAAAAACAAAAATACATCATGCCTCAAAGTTCTGAGAAGGCCTTTGTAGTATAGCAAAAATTAGGGAATCCAAGTTTGATTCATAAATTATTTAAACTTTCTAAGGCCTCAGTTTCCCCATCAACACCATGAGGTCAACTATAATAGTATCAAATACTCCCAAGTATTGTAGGTATGATTACTACCTATTATTGTAGGTATTATTACTCAGGAAAGTACCACCCAATATGATTATGATCACAACAATCTTTTGGTACAACTGAAATTTCTTCATTAACTAAACAGTAAAATTAAACTTATTGAGTCAAGTGGAGCACAACTTCAAAGCCGGACTCAGCAATTCAGCAAGGCCCTAAGCAACTTAGCAAGACCCTGTCTCAAAATAAAAAATAAAAGGGGCTGGGATGTGGCTCAGTAGTTAAGCACCCCTGGGTTTTCCAATCTTTATTCTTACAATTTTTCTCTTCTTCTTCACAAGTCCTCAGCTCCATTTTTTGAATTAAACCTTAATTGATCTAAAATTTATTTCTGAGTATACAATGAGGGATTGATCCATCTGTTTTACCCTGATGGTGAGGCATTTAATCCAACAGCATTTTCACCAAAATGGTCTCTAATTACATCTGTATCTTAAATTCCTGATTGGTTCTACTTCCAGCCTATTCCACAAGTTTCCAATGTGAGTCATTCCAGTTTTAATCATTACTACACAACAGATTTTAGTATTTGCTAGAACTAATTTCCTATAGAATAATTTGCACTAATTTCACAAATTGTTTTAAAAATTCTCTTTGAAGGATTAAAGACTGAGGTATACTTTAAAAAACCACTACTCTTCAATCTTGACTCAGCCTTACCACTTTTTCCCTCCCAGACCACAGGGGAAACCACTCATCAGTTAAGTATGCCAGAACTTTGCTACTTTTTCCTAAATAGTAACAGGCCAATGCACAAAAATATACAATGTAGTTTTACAGCTGTTGTTTGGTTTATGGCTGTTGCCTATACTGTTTTACAACTATTTTATTCAATAAAAAGCCTCAAAATCACATTCATTTAATATGCTTACATACTGTACTTTAGCTATCAAGGTTTCTCAAGTTTTAGTAAGAATTAAGAATTCACCAGGAAGAATTTGTGCAAATACAGAATTCTGGGATCCACCCCTAGATAATTCTAATTCAGAATCTGGGGATTAAGAATTAATTTCAAACAAATTCCCAGTGATGCTGACTGCTGCCTATTGATTACTAACTACACTTTGAGTAGCACTGTTCTCTAGTATGAATAATACACAGGTCAAGTTCTTCCCTTATTGATTGATATTTAAGTTAATTTGAATTTGTCCTCTACTACACACAATACAATTTTTGTACACAAGTGCCATTACTCTAAAGCAGATATCATCTAGTAAAATGTACACTACAACAGACGGCTTTCAAAGAGCAAAAGTGACCTAAAGAAACATGTTCCTAAAAACTAAACATCAAGTTAGCAGTGAAGGACAAACTTCCTAACAACACACATACTCATTCCACATTTATCTCCTGATAATTATTCACAAAATTCCGTACTTTACAGAATTCTAGAGGTCTTACAGCACAGATGAAGGAACTAAGGCACATTAAAGCAGCTTGTTTTCGGAGTGTCCTTCATTCTTCTCATCCTGTATTATCCTCCTCTGAGATGGGTAATTTTGAGACATAAGAATAAGTAGCTAGCATATAAAAATCCAATTAATGTCTGCTTTCCCRGACCACTGACCATCAACTCATTTATGCAACTCTGTAGATCTGATAAGGTAATCACAACTCTTCAGACTAGGTATACTATAACCCCAGGAAAAAAGGAAAAATAGAAATAGAAAGAAATAAAATGATGACATCAGCACATTAAAATATACTAGCCAGTTATGAATTTCTCACTGTGAGATTTTAAAGGAGCTTAAAGCAATTAGAAAATAAGACATATTATAATGATTCCACATATTAAAGTTCACAATGTTTAAGTGGTTTGGGGAATCAGTGTGTTAAGTTTGTACCTTACTTTCATATAGACTGATCAACACCCCTTTCATGTAACAGCTTAACTTGACTTTGGGTATCTCCCATCATAARAGAGTTGAATACTTTTCTAGTTCTGCAAGGGAAAGATGGCACAAATTGGTGCAAGCCTGTAATTCCAGTAGCTCGGGAGGCTGAGACAGGAGGATTGTGAGTTCAAAGCTAGCCTCAGCAAAAGCAAGGAACTAAGCAACTCAGCTTAGAGACCCTGTCTCTAAATAAAATACAAAATAGGGCTGGGGATGTGGCTTAATGGACCAGTTCAATCCCTGGTTCCCACCCCCACCCGACAAAAAGATGGCTCAAATTAGGCAATGGTGCCACACAATGTTAATAGACAAAAATTCTAGGCAAACACAGGGAAAATATTATATTTCCTAAGCCCACAATATATTTACAGCATGGGTCCAGGTGACCCAGACTCCTTCAAACATGGCTGACTGGGTTAGATGCAGAAAACACACTTAAAGACAGAACACCAAAATGAAGTAGTTCCTAGTTACCCACAATGAACCATAACCTGAAAAAATTAAGTGAAATTTCCAGAGACAAATTATTTGTAAATTTTAAATTGTGTACCGTTGTGAGTGGCATGGTGAAATCTGTGCAAAAGTTCTGTCTAGAACATGAAGCAGCTATACTCTATATAAGACCTACCTGTTAAGTCTATATTATACTTTATATACGAAAGACTCATGTAACTTTTATGACAGTGTATTGCTATAATTGCTTAAAATGCATGAGTTGTCATTAATACACTGGTAATGTCTGCCCATATTCCTATAGTAAACTATGAATACAGATCCAAACACATGGTTTAGTCAAATTTCAAAGTTTGGGGAGGGGGACAGTAGATAAGAAATCATTTTTTATCAAAATTAATACATGCAAAAGTTCTTAATCCAGTTCTTACCTGTCACTTGATGTTGGGCTGGTAGCCGCTGGTGTCTCCACTGGCTTTTCTGCAGCTTTCTCTTGCTGAGTTGCACTAGTAGGTGCAGGTTCAGAAGATGCTGTTGTTGTTGCTGGAGTGATAGATGCAGGTGTGGAAGTGGGGGCCAAAGCAGGGGTGGGTGTTGGAGCCTGAGTCACAGCTGTTGCTGTGGAGGAACTAACTGTGGTAGTAGTGGCAGAACTTGATTGCTGAGTTGGTGCTGGTGCTGGTGTTGTCACTGCTTTGGGCTAAATATATTAAAAAGGAAAATAATTATGAAAAAATACATCAYTACATGAAAATATATCATATGAACTATATTCTCATGATGCTACCAACACCAATACAAAATTACAACTTGAACATGATTTTGTAAAAGAATATAATTATCAATACCAACATTTTGTTACTCTTGCATATTCAATATAATTTCCTTGAAATGCAACTATAAAAAGAAGTATGATTATTAATGAACATGCTAAATATTCTGTGGCATTTTAGGAGGGGGAAAACTAATACAGAATGTAAACCAACAGGTACAAGTACAAAAAGATTAACAATATTTTGAGATATATAAACAAAAAAATTAAGACCAAATGAATTTATAAGCACATGCTCAGTGCTTTCTGAATTAGAAGCAGAGCCATAAGCTTCCCACAGAGCAAAAATGCAATTAAGTATGTATGAAAATCATACTGTATGGGCTCTATTCTCCTGGGGTCCATCAATATCCACTATCTGTTTAGCTCATAACTTTCCTAAGAGCAAAAAAAGAGTTAACTGTTTTGGTGGAAGATGTGATTGAAATGCAACATGATTTGCTGTAAAAATCAACAAACTGTAAAAGCTATGAGCTGCCTTGTATTTAATTCGAGGTAACAGACAGGATGTTAGAAAAAAAGTCCCTAGTGCAAGGTCAGGGGAGAAGGTTTTAAAAAATACCAGTACCCTTATACTCCCTTTATTCTTCCAGGACTCCTAGAGCTAGCTCTATGATGTTCTTTCTTTCTTTTTTTTTTAGTTGTAGATGGACACAATATCTTTATTTATTCTTATGTGGTGCTGAGGATCCAACCCAGTGCCTCACACGTGTGAAGCGGGTGCTCTACCACTGAGCTACAGCCCCAGCCCGCTATGATGTTCTTAATGGCCAATACAATACTCAAGATTATCAATATATATATATATTTTTTTAGGGGTGGTGGGTGGTGGGGAAGGACCGGGGATTGAACTCAGGGGCACTCCACCACTGAACTACATCCCCAGCCCAATTTTTGAATGTTTTTATTAGAGACATGGTCTCACTGACCATTGCTGAGGCTGGCTTCAAACTTGTGTAGCCTCCCGAACTGCTGGGATTACAGGCATGCGCCACTGCGCTTGGCCTTATCAATATTCTTTAAATACCAATGTTAGCAGAAATCCTTAGGCAATGAGTTATTCTGGATAAACTGGAGCTTCACAAGGGTAAGGATTTCTATTTTTAGCACTAAAACATATTAACTGATCTAGATTAAATGCTTTATTTAAATTATCTGTGATTGGATGATTACTGTAGTAGACCAATGTCCCTATTTCCACAAAGCAATACTTGACCCTTATTCCTGACAGTACCAAGCCCCTTGGCTTTTTGAAGTTTTTCTTGCTTTTGATCTTAATTGGTTTCTCCTCTCTCCCTGTAACAAGGCCTTGCTTCCATAATGCCTAACTAATAGTTGGTTTCTGTTATAAACTTCAAAATAAAAACAACGATGATTATTATCAGGATTCTGTGTAATAAATAGAGTACCAAGTAGCTATTCCTGGGAAACATGCACTTATTCTGAGATCTTTTCTGCTTAATTCTTACAGTCTGAATAGTCAAGGTTAATGCAATACCAAAGGACTATGTTAACAATAACAAAATATCCAAATGTATGCCTATCATATTCCCCCTTATGTAATATGTATAAAACTAGATGAAAAAAATAACTTTACAAAGGAAGGAAATTATGGCATATGCTACACAAAACAGATGAACCTTGAAAACATTATGCTCCAAGTCACAAAAGGACAAATATTGTAGGATTCCTCTTAATGAGGACAAATTCAGAGACAGAAAAGTAGAATGTTAGCTGCTAGGGGCTGAAGATAAGAAGAATAAGAGTATTTAATGAGTACAGAGTTTYAGTTTGGGAAAATAAAATTTTTGAAGATGAATGGTAGTGATATTTGTACAGCAATGTGCTATATCCCTTATGCGCTACTAAACTGTACACTTGGAAATAGTTAAATTGATAGATTTTGCATTATGTATATTTGATGATACAGGTTTTCTCACTTGATTCCTTCTCTGTATTTAAAGCTGAACTTTTAATAAGTACTTTAAGTATAGCTAAATGGCTCTTCTTGGATTAAAAAATTTTCAAGTCTATCTAAACCATTTAGCTGCTTTTTGTTTCTCAGTACATATAATTAATTATTAATAGTTATTTCATTTTCTACTATCAATTATGTAGCGACTTTGAAAATAACCTTTATATTTATTCCATTTTTGATCTTTGATGAACTTGTTTTAATTAATTCAAACTCACATTCAATGCTATAACACTACTTGCTACTGTTTGGGTTGCCTCACTTCCTCCCAATTCAAGTAGTTTAATCCCAAAGTTTTATTTTAAGGTATTAAGAACATGAATAATCAATCTTACTATGGTGTTTAGAGGAAGGGTCTTTGGAAATTGATGAGATCATTAAAATGGAATCCTTATGTCTAAATTCTGATCTAATGAACCTCTTTTTCTTATAAAAATTATCTACCTTAGGTACTTCATTATAGTAATGTGAAGCTCTTCTTTCTCAGATTAAGACAATCAACTAATGAGTTTATATTACACACCTTTTCTGCCTTGAGGAGTTTGTAACATTTAGCATATAACTTACCAAGCCCCTTTAAAGTACCCTTAATTAAAATTCCCAGAATAACATTTACTAGGTTTCTAAGCATATTTTAAATCACATGGTTATTTAACTACTCCAGCAAAAACAATACATTTCATATTTCAACTGTTTTAATTTATATAAAAATTATGTTAAAACTACAAATGTATAAAACCATTAACTTTAAGGTTGACTCAAGTAAATTTAAAAAATGACAGTTACGTATGTAATCCTATGGAATGTATATAAATTCTGTCCACTGTGTGGACCTAAGTCATTATTTTTTAAAAGACTAACATGCATAAAGACACACAGAATGAGGATGAAACTTACTTTTGTCACCATAACCACCACAAAGTTTTTCTCATCAATTTTGTATTCTTTGAGAGCAGTATCATCATTGAGGATTTTGCCTATACATTCATAGGAAAAACAATGTTTTTTAAGGCACAGTAATCTTTGACACATAAATGAAGTCAAAACAACTTTCTATTAATCACCAATGTTAATTCTATCAATTCTTGTCCCAAAGAAAATCATTACCCAATCAGTCAAGATAAAAATGAATGGAAATACAATTAAAAAGGCATAAGCATTTGACTAAGTGATGTCAAACATATCTAATACACACAGAATGCCCAACAATTTTTAAAACTGTTATTAATTATATAAAAGACTTGCTGGGCAAGGAAATATAAAACAGATCCTGAGAAATGGGAGATTATAAAGACAAAGACAATTAAATATCGTGATTACTTTCATATTCCTTAGAAAATAACCCACATTCTCTCTCCTGATGGAAGGAAAGAACAACAAAACTTCCTTCTCCTAAAAACCAGTTACTTAACAAATCAGAAATATTCCAATGTTAGAAATGTAAGATACTTGGGCTAGTGATGTGGCTCAAGCGGTAACGTGCTCGCCTGGCGTGCGTGGGGCGCTGGGTTAGATCCTCAGCACCACATAAAAATAAAGATGTTGTGTCCACCGAAAAACTGAAAAGTAAATATTAAAAAAAATTATCTTTAAAAAAAAAAAAAAGAAATGTAAGATACTAAAAGACACTTCAGAAAATGACATGGTATACAAGAAAAGAGAAAAAAAAAAAAAAGAAAAGAGAAGATGGTACAGAACTTGGTAATGCACAAAGTAAACAAATGCAGTTATACTAAGAGTCAGGACTCCTTGAGGTTTCCGTTTCCTTAATTTAGTTTCTCATTTTTAAAAATTACTGCATTAAAAGCTGCAATTATCAAACCAGAAAGGAATAGTGTCTCTATTTTTTATAGGAATTAGACAACAGGCTGACAGGCACCAAAAATTGCAGTTCTATGCCTAAGACATCTTATTAGGTTTCTGAATTCTGACCTATAAAAATACTGGGGATCACAAGGCTGGCATTTTTTCTAAACCATCTTAAAGAAATACTACGAAATTTTATCCAGCAAAGACAAAAGAATCTGCAGGCAATCAAAGACCACTGTACTGATAACTATAACAACAGCGTTCAGTACTTCCTTTGAAGAACAAAGAGAATTTTTCTCAACTAAATTTGGGTTTTGAGTCTACTTTTAACATACCTTGTCCTGGTTACCAATGAGGCTAATTAAATTTGCAATTTCCTATTCACATCTTTAGTTTTTCATTTTTAAAACTGGATCATCCTTTCCTTATTGATTTATAAGAAGTCTTAATATAAATTTAATTTTACAGGAATGATTTCGAGCACATAAACAAACACAATCAGTATAACCATTTAATGCAGATTAAAAAAAACCAAAATGCTGTTTGATTAAAAACACAAAAGCCAATTACATGATGCTTTAAAAAGATGAAAATACATAAAAATTATACCATTCAATGGAAAATATGTAGGGAAAATGTGAATAAAGAGAAGATTGAATATTAATGCCATATTCAAATGACTGCTTTCATCACTTTTATCTATACAATTATGTTTCTGACAGAATCAATTTGAATATAGTATAATTTGTAAGATAACATTTCTAAAACTAAAAGAATGTCACTATAAACAAGACAGTATATTAATTTCAATATTTAATTCATACCTGCATAAATTAATTTTTGGCCTGCCACTGGAAAGGCATCTTTCCCCTTTTCAGATTCAATCTTCTCTTTCAGTGCTTTCACCTATAGGAACAATAAAGATTTTTTTTAAAAAGCCTAAACAAAAAGTGACAATCCACACTCTGAATAAATAATGCAAAATTAAAATTTTAATATTTTAATTACAAATACTTCCAAAAACTACAATCATGTCTTTCTAATATCACACCCCCAAACTTACCATTAACTTGTACTTATAGATACAAAAGACATAATCTTCCCATTACACACAGATTTTAAGAACTTCACTAGTTGACTCGACAAATTAAAACAAAGATCTGAAAATCAAAGATTTGGTTTTGCATAAAAAGTTTATGGGCTTATTTCCCACAGAGAAGGAAAGTAAAGAAAAGTATTCTAAACTGGTCTCATCCATAATAATACTTCAGTATTAAAGGTTAAATATGAATGTTAAAAGGTAAATGACTCATTTTTAAGAGTGTTGTAATATTTCATTATAATCACTCCTGGGTTTTACAAAGACCAATTAAAACAACTGAGGAGTTCACAGTACAGTATTTAAAAAAAAAAAAAAAAACTTTACAGGTGGTTCAAAGTTCAACTAAGGCTGAGAACTACTGTGATAGTAACTGACAAGAAAGGATGGTACAAGAGTAAAAACATCAAGGGAACTTGGCTCTTCCATGTGCCTCAATGGAACGTTATTTTTTGATAATGGGTATTGAATCAAGGAGCACTTTGGTCACTCAGCTCTGTCCCCAATCCTTTGTAAAATTTTTTTATTTTGAGACAGGGTCTCACTAAGTCGCTGAGATTGGCCTCAAACTTGGTGATCCTCCTGCCTTAGCTTACTGAGTGGCTGGGATTATAGGGGTGTGACACTGCACCAGGCTGGAACTACATTATTTTAAAAGCACAAGGATCATCAAGGGGGAGATTCCATTTCCTCCAATTTCCAGACTAGTTTTGAAAATTGTCTAAGTAAACTGTTCTGAGCCTATGTTAAGGGGATAAAGATAGCTGCTTTGTTCAATTAAAAAAATAGATTGGACTTTTTATTTAGCTTCAAATACATTAACATGCAAAATCTACATAATCCTTAAAATTCTGGAACCAATGAAAATACCATCCACTCCATTTCACAGATGAAGAGATAGAACCAAAATCATCTATCTCTGTGACTTAAAACTTTTAAAGCATTTTGTAAATGCCACAGTGATCACCCTTGCTACACCAATCTTCCAGAAATGGGTCAGTAGTATCACTGCTATTGACATTCCTCAATATCCAGAGATCTCAACAAATTATTTTCCACTGTTCCAAAATGTCAAAGATAAACCTAAAACAAGAATTTTTTAAAAAAGAACCCAGAAAATCAAGTCAGCAAACTTGAGAATAACAAATTACATACCATTATCTAATATATACTGTTTTTTTCTATTAGATGATAAAACTGTGAGTAAATTCAGCTCTCAGTACAGGACATAGTGGTTGAGCATATAGTGTGTGCTTATTTATTAAGTGCTGAATAAATAAGTGACCATAAAAGTAATATGAAGGAAATAACATCATCATTATTAAACAAATTAGATCAAAAAGTACCTGAACTAGAATTTGGAATGGGTTCAATGAGCTGTCCAAAATTTTGGTGTCATTTCTTCATCTCAATAACAATGATATTTACTTCCAATCCATTTAAGTCATCTCACAGGACACAGGCTGAATTCTGTCATCCATAAAATTATTGTATCTTTGAAATTACAAGATAACAATCATCTATTTCTGCTGGCTCTCAACAACTCTTCATTACACTTGCTCCAAAGCCTCGCAGATACTTTGGTCCCTAGTCTCTGCCTTCACTTCAATCTTCACTACCACTCTCTTGGACAACACTGCCATTCCTCCTATCACCTTCTTCCTAATATCAGACTCCAGTGCTTCTGTTAGGCAAAATTCTCTACATGAACCAACATAATGTAATCTCTAGCAGTATCCCAATCACTCTACAATGTCAAACTCTTCCACCTCATTTAGCTAATCTGAACCTTTTATATATCTGACTCTATACACATTTACATCCAGTCCTGAAAATACTCCTGGAGAAAAGGAAAGATACTCATTATCTATTATCCTGACCAGCCCTCTCCTCCAAATCTGATGCCCAACACCCCCTCCCCTGCTCTGCAAACTCTACTTTCTACTTTATTCAAAACAGAAAATATCAGAGAAGAACTCATCCTCAACTTCCTGCCACAGGACTGGCGCATCTTATCACATCCACATCTATCTAATCTCCTCTCTTCCCATTAACAAAAGTGCTATCCCTTCATTCCACTTGTTCTGACTCCCCCTCCAGTGAATAGTCTGCTAAACCGTTTCCCATTCTTCTCATCCCAGCTTTAGAATCAACTTCTCCCTGAAAGCCAGTTCATTTCCATTCACATTCTTTTCTCTTATGACATTGTGCCTCTGAAAATAAAACACAGCCAATATAATGTTAAACACAGTTGGTACGGATTKTACTTTCTCTCCAAAGAGAGGTAATCATAATAGCTATTTGAAAGTGCAAACACAAGCTAAACCTACCATTTAGTTTCCTAATCTGAACACTATGAATGCATCTCGTTGGCACTACACTAGTTCAGGCTAACAACCACTGAAAGTACAGTCATTTGTGGCACAACATTTTTGCCAACAGTGAACCACATAAAATGGAGCTAAAACTAATTCCCATCACAGTCATCATAACACTGTAGTGCAACACATTACCCATGCACTTGTGGTAATGTTGGCATAAACAAACCAACTATGCTGCTTATGTATTACCTGTACTACACAGGTAGTGCCTATGTATTACCTGTAGTACACATGCAGGTGATACTATTCTTATTTTCTAATGACGACACTAACACACATGAAGAGAAAAGGTTTAAGGACACAAGCTCTGGAGGCAGACTATTAAATGTGAATCCTCACTAGTTAGTCAGCACATCAAATACTGTTGTACTTGGAGCACTAATTCAGGCATTTTTAAAGCAGTCTGTCTGCCTTTGACTAAGTTTGTCAAGACAAAGTTATATGCCATTATAACACAAAAAACTGAAAACATTTGTTAAATGTCAATTGAGATGAAATGGTATCATTGCACAAACATTCACGAATACTATGCAATATTAATGAATGGAATATCTACAGTTATCTTTAAAAGGAAGTCAATGGATAAACAAAAAAATTTTTTTAAAGTGTAGTGCTTATGTATTACCTGTAGAAATATTTTTTAAAGGACTGGAAGAAAACAAAGTACACAATGGTTGTTACTTAACAGGTCAAGGTCTTATACTTTTTGCTTCATTTACTACAACAAGCCTAGATAATTTAACCATTTTTAGAGAAAACTGGAGTTACATACATTATGCTGCAATTTTGAGAGATTATACAGGGAGGGGTAGTTCTACTACCACATAATCTAATTAATCAAAAATAACACCAATCAAATTTTGGTGGTTACCTATCAGCAAAAGAGAAAAAGATTCYCAAAGCCAAATATGCTTACAAAAGGATTTCAAAAACTTTCCTTTTTGGTTTCCATTTGAAAAACTGGCACAGGCACCAAGAAGAAGCTCCTAAATTTCTTCTCAAAAGTAGGTTTGGGATAATTTTAAAACACAGAATTGATTATATAAACATGACTGCTGACTTCAATAGAAATGGGAAAATTTCCCTTCTAGATCCAAGGAATAATAATAATAAAAAAATGTAAAACATGAAAGGACATTTCAACTGATATTATAGTATTATATGAGAAGAGAGTAACAAAGATAATCCTCAAACTGGAGTTATCATCCAGAATATATTTTCCCAACAGAAACCATGTAAAATGGCATTCAGGACCTATACATGTCAACTCAATCACATTTAAAATATGTTACTGACTGCACAATTTCAACAAGATCAAAACAGACACAACAATTGAAAACTGAGAAAGCAGAACTCCAAGAGACCCACAGATTTTAAAGTTTCTAGAGAAATAAGCTGGTCTTGGTGATGCACACCTGAAATCTTAGCCACTAGGGAGACTGAAGCACAAAGATCACAAGTTCAAGGTCAGCCTCAAATACTCAGTGAGACACTTTCAAAATAATAAAAAACTGGGGAGTGGGAGGTGAATTTGCAGTCCACTGCCATGGCTTCCATCCCCAGTTCTAATAATAATGGTAATGATAATAAAATTTCTATGCAAGCAAAGAATGAATCTAGTGCAAAAAAAAAAAAAAAAAGGAAGAAAGGAAGGAGGGGAAAAAAAAAAGCTGCCTACCTAATTCAACCAGAAGTGTGAGGGGGAAAGAGGCTGAGGATTGTATCTACGACTTGTGCATCAGTCATTTGTACCTGATCTGCTTCCTCTGCTGGAATAGGTTTACGTAATTTCTAAAGAGATTATAAAGTTCATTTGGCTGTAAAACTCACTTTTTTTTTTTTAAAGTCCAGAATCTATTTTCCCAACAGAAACCATGTAAACTGGCATTTAGGTTGCTAAATAACCATGCCAACTTATCATATCACACAAAGAAATTTATCTGATCTTATAGGGAATAGATGGTATAGCAAATTTGGCAGGATCCACTCTGCTACAGTAGACTTAAATTTAGTACATTTCTTTCAAAATGGAAATGGAAATTTTACATATCACTTATCCAAAAAAATTTCTCTATTTTCAAGTCAAAACAGCAGGACTTTGTTCACTGTTCTAAACTGCTGATGTGTCAAGCTGAGAAAATGAAAATATCTCATTCACACAAACCTTTAAAAAAATGACAGTGAAAAGACTGATCAAAATAAAGAAAAACTGATAAAAGCAGAATTTGCATAAAAATATCAGAATTTATTTCTAATTTCACAATTCACTATATAACTTTTTAGACTCCTTATTTCACCTGATTTTCACATCAACTTTAAGGAAGACAGGTCAATCATTATTATCCCATTTTACAAATGAGAAAGATTTTTAAAGTATCGTGCTCAAGAACAAAATATAAATACTAAGTGGTGGCAACCCCTCTAGG